GAGCGGGAAATAATTATTTAGCTTTTTTATATTGTATTGTGGATATTATCAAATATAATGGTTTGCGAGATTGTTGAAATTTGAAACAGGATCGATTCAAATCAAATATTTAAATACAACATTGTCCAACGCGATCCGTTATCATATCGTCGGTACGTTGAAATGTGCAATGTCAACATTGTAGAATCTATTAAATATTTTGAATAGGCGGTAAATGGCGATTTAGCCGACTAGAAAATTTGAAAACGCTATTGTGAAGAATATTAATATCTTGTAGTTTTCATTGACTTGGAAGGACAACATTACTCAGTAAAGAGGGTATAAAAGGATAAATCCTTCCATTCGGATTAGATTGATGGCATTCCCTATATGTTTGACGATCCAATTATGCATTAGTAAAAACGGTCAAAAGAATTTTACTTCCTAAACACTAATTTGACTGAGTTATTAATAATTTAAAAGAACTCGAGAAGAGCGTACTGTATCAAAATATTAAAATTTAATTAAAATATCACGAAAAAGGCCCTATAAATTGCCAGAAACTATTATTCGTATTGAAAGGTTTTCTTTATTTAATATCAACTTAAAGATAAATTTAAGAAGAAAACTTTGTTAGGACTATAAAGAATGGAAATTATTTTATTTACAGAAGTAATAAGAATTGTTTATTAAGCTTTTAAAGTAATTATTATTTATTTAAATTTTCAAAATAATAAGCTTTTGATGAGGCTTTTGATTAAATAAATTTAAACAAACAACTTATAGGTTGAAATCGACATTATATAATTAACTATCATTATTAAAAGTGACAATAAACCAACTAACAATTTTCAGCAATATTATTCGCGTAATTAAGGGTTTTAAATTATTAATCATTATAAAAACACGCATTAGTGAAAGATTAAGTTTTGAAATATTGAATTAAATTGAATCCGTTTCGTATTTTAAACTTATAAAAAGCAATTATAATAATTTAAAAGACAACTTCTAACATTTAACTAATTAAATAAAAATGTAAGCAAAACTCGTTTCTTCCAAGTTGATCTACCTACTATTTAAACAAGATAATTTCTAAAAAAAAATGTAGGTCTTAAGAACTCATTATAAAACATTAATTATTCAAAATAAGTATTTAAAAATGTTAACAATGTATTATTCATTTATGTCCCGAAATATAATACGAGAATAAAACATTATATCAAAACATAAAATTAATAATTGAGTACTTATTAGATTTAGCTCAATGCATTTTTTCATATAGTAAAATAATTGTATGATAATGTGATTAGCTACAAAACTTTTTTTTACTCGTTTTCCTATAATTGTAATTTAAAAAAATGTCATACCAATTGTATTAATAGTAAAAAAGTTAATTTATTTGTATGTGGTACAATACAAATTGAGAAATTAAAAACAAATTTTGCGGAAATCATTGTTACTTATATCATTATAGATTACTGATTAAGTGTTAGTTAAAATTTATAATAAAATGTTTAAAAAAAATATAGTAAAATAGTTTTTTTTTAGAAAATTGCTTTCTCAAGTATTTCATACAATTATCATATATAAATTAAGAATACAAAAATCAAAAAGGTATTTTCTCCAAAATTAATTTTTTATAGACTTTAGAGTACTATTTGATTTTGATATGCTATAAATAGCTATTAAATGATGATTAATAATTGTTCCAGCATAAAATAATATTATTATCATAGTTATATATAATAGCCTCATAGATTAAAAATAATATAACTTTTTATTAATTCATTTAAAAATAAATGATTCTCAAAAAATTAAAATTTACAAATCAGTTGAACAAGATGACTATCAAGGATTAACTATTTAAAAATAGTATTTTGTTATATGTTTATACCTTGATTTAAACGGATATTAACTGTCTCAAATTAAGTACCATGTAGTACCTATGATATTAGAATATATTCAAAATATCTTATTTTGTTATATCAACTATCAACTAAGAAATAATTATTTAATTGCATACTTATGTAATTATTGTTAAATTTAGGTTTAACTTCATAATTTAGAATAGAACTATCTTATATGTATAACATAGACCATACATTTAATAAATCTGGGAAACAACAACTAAATCCAAAATATCTATTATTAATAATAAATAATAACTAAATCAATTTAAATATTATATTGGTATTCTAGTAATTGGGACAAATAAATAAATATTTAGAAATCCTCTACCAAATTAAGGGCTTGAATTATTTCAAATCTGACTAAAGATCAAAATATGTGTATGTCTATGTGTAAATTAAATTTATCAACTAAAAATTTAATTTGAATTATTGTAATAAATATAATGCACAAGATAACTTAACTGATTTAAATGGTTATAAATGTAGTTAAATATATAGCTAGTTCCAACATTATCATCAATCAAATACTAACTATATTTTATACTATTCAATTTTATCAGAGTATTGTCCAGAGCTCAACAGTCTTATATAAATGTAATAGCTTGAAACATACATACTAATATATATATATATATATATATATATATCTAACTATATCTCTATAACTTTTACTTTTACTACACATACACACATACATATATACTTATATATAATGATTAAATAGTAAACAGAGTGTCACAAAGATATCTTAAACATTTTATAACAAATAAAATGTAAAGGGGTTAGAACTTCTTTTAACGCCCTGCATTAAGTTTGAAACCCTTAAATTAGAAATTCTGAGGCCACACTTAATGAATATGACATTTAACATTTAAAGATGTTAATTTAATAATTATTAATTAATTATATTATAATATTGAATTAATTAAATTAAATTAATTTTTTATGATTTCATGTTTCTATAAAACATTTCTATTTTAAGTATATACTTTTCATCTTGTTTGTAAGTGAAGGCAATACTTTGAATTCATGAGACTATCTGACAATTTTGACAAAATATATTTTCAAGTAATAAACTTAAGGATCAAGCAATATTGAACTAAAAGCATCTATTATACATTTTAATTATTCAAAAACATAGAAAATTATATTATAATTAGTGAATTCAATTTCAGTGTCTAATAATTAAATAAAAAAAACAAATTAAAATGAATAGCTGCAGGTATAAAAATTAATAATAAAAATAATAACCAATGTATAAACACTCATTCAAGTAATTATAAACCAAATTCTTCAATGAATACACAAACTGTGTTGATTAAAATTAAGATTTATCAACAAAAAAATATAATTTTATTTATTATTTATTTATTCATTAGGTAATTATAAAAGAATACAATTTTAATTTTAATATGAAACCTAATTATGCAATATAATATTACTTTTTAATTTGTTGATTACTAATTCAATTCAATCTGTATTTGATAACTGTATTTATAATCATTTTCTTGAGTAAATAAATCCAATTTAATACAAATAATATACATAATGTGAGATTAGTACACCTAGTTCCAATTAAATAATCACCAACTTCTAAATATTTATAAGCAATCGAGAAATAATACATAAATATTTTAATTTTTTGTTAAAGAATAACATGTAAAATACTAATAAAATAAATAGATAAAGTTTAATTTATATCAAAAATATGAAAGTTAAATAAATTATTTTCTCCAAATTAAAATTATCAATATCAGGATTAAAAGGACCCAACTAGCTACCATTCAACATATCCTTTTTATTGATAATATAGTTTTTTTTTTTTTTTTTAACTAAAATGGCATGCATAATCAAGTATAAAATTTAATATACAATATTAATATTAACTTTAAACACTTATACCTTAGTTTTAACAAAAAAAAAAAAAGGCTAAATTAATTTTATTATATTATTTAAGCCACATAACAGACATATTTTTTTACAAAATTTATAATTTTTAGAAACAGATTAATAAAAATTATGTTGTAGTCAAATTATCTATTACATTTTAAAAAAATAACCGATTTTAAAGATCAACTAGGAATTGCCAATTACTCAAACACAATTATTATGTATGTAGGTACAATGATTTAATATCTACCTAACTATATCATAACTTTTATCAAAATATTTTAGTACTTCTACACATTTCAAGTTTGATTAAAAAATAAGTACTCACATTAAATTATTCATAAATTATTTTTTATAGTGATATAACATACAATAAAAACTCAAGTTCCAATAAGGCAATTATAATATTATATTAAAAAATGGTTTGTTATTATTTGAATAGGTATTTTGTTAATTCAATCTTTAGGTATTAAGAATCTAAAACTTATAATTTGTTAATGCGAACAAAAATCATAGATATAAGGATCAATTACTATTGAATATTTTATTTATATTAAAAATAATAAAACAAAATTCAACTATCAAGACAAAAAGTCAATAACTAAAAAAATTAATTTATAGAAAAGAAGAAAAAAATTTGAAATCAATAATGAATAAGGCAAGGAATAAGGATAGATACTATATAATATTAATAACTCCTAACAACTAAAAATAATATTTGTTATAAAACTAGATACAAATAGGTAAGTTAAAATTAAATTGAACACTTACAGATTAGGTTTAATTAGTTGTTAAGTACCAACAGAAAATTATGTATATCTATAGATCAAAGAATCGATTTCATTCAAACTTGACCATTTTTTCTAGTAAGTGGTGACTATTTCATCTTTGAGCATCCAATAAATAATGATGAAGCAATTTTAACATATAAGTTATGTTTTAATAATGTTATACCAACAAACTGAAACTTATCATATATAAAATGATAACTACTGAATAATAATGTATTTTCCTTAACCTACTTGTTTTTATAAACTGAGCGTTTATTAATTAGACAAATAAATTAATCATAATACATACAAGACTATAGTAGTATCTGATAGTTAGATTTCACATGGTGTTTGGAAAAGTAGAAATAGTAAAGGGTACTTTTGACCATACATTTGTTTGTACAACTAAGTAAAGTTATATTATGATTGACTTTGGATAGTAATTGCTTACCTCTAGATCTTCGTATGACTTGAAGGATAGAATAGCAAACCCATCAACAACATCTTCATCGAACAAAGAAGTTTCTTTCTTTTTCCTACGGTTTGGTGGTGGAGGTCTTTGGATCTTCTCCTTGGCAGACAATTCGTCTTCTTCTCCACTGTCCAGCTCATGTTTCTTAGCGTGCATGCGCTGAGCCCGTTCTCTTCGCTTGCTGCGTTTGATACGCTGCTGCTTAATATCCGTTTCCATGTTATCACGACACGTCAGTCGTCCGGCACACAACAATCTTCAACCCGTCACACACCGGTCGGCCGGTCATCGCGGAGAAAAACACACAAAAGCAAAAGCTTTTCTTATCACATCGGCCGAACGTGGTATTCGGTAGATACTAAAAATTAAAACCGAACGATGAGTCCGAGAAAACACACCCGTCGTGACCGATCGAACCCCGGGCAAGAAAGTAGGAGTCGGTAGGACGGTGCGAATAAATTTTCGCGCAGCGCCACAACCGGAATGATCACCGGCTCTACGGTCGAGATGATCGTGCACCTAGGCGGATGTGAACTCGGTGTGCGATCGCTGCGAGACACGTTGCCCACGGACCGACGACTCCACGGCACCAGCGCGCGACGACGGAGGCCAATCACCTCTCAGGCCGCAGTTGAACAACGATAATGAAGGTGGTGACCGGTGGCCGGCAACCGGGTGCCGAAGAGTACGGACCAACTGCCGGACGGACGGTGCTAAAGCGGCACGGCACAGCGGCGATGAGTTTCCGCGGACGGACGGCGGTGGCCAGCAACGGACGACAGGACACCCGGACGGATCGGACACGCACGGCGAAGCGATAACGCTCGTACGACGGGGGCCAAACGATTGATTTAACAAAAACACACACGCACACACAGATACGCGCGCGCTCGCGGCGACGGCAGCGGACGGAGACGGGGAACGTCGGCGGAACGCGCACACAAGCTCACTTGTCGCCGTCGGTTTCGGTCGGGCGCATAAAAAATAAATAAATAAATAAATAAATAAATAAAAAAAAAAAACACGCGCGCACAGTCTGTCTCTCGACGACCGCTCTGTCCGTCTGTCAATCCCTCCCTCTACGCGCACTGTCGGCCAATCGCGCGCGCACGCACCGTCGCGCGAACCCGTCGTCGACGTTAGCGGCGGCGGCCGGGGATGGTTAACGCAATGGTAATCACAACAAAGCTACGGACGACGGGAAATCCGCTGCCGCCGCGGTTGGTACGCACTGGGCGAACGCTTTCCGCCCGAACAGTGCAGCCAATTAATCGAGCGCCGCACGCGCGCACCGATATTATTATACTACCTATTCATTATTTATTATTCGCCAATATTATTATTTTTTTTTCTCGTTACAATAACGCGACATGACGTACACGTCACGCTGCAGAACACCGGTTGTCCGTTCCTTTCTTCTCCGTTTTTCCACTTACGCGTTCGTTATTTATTTTTATTTATTTATTTTTTCCGCCACAAAACGCTAAGGATAATAATAGTAGTAATAATAACAACACACTGCCGCTGTGCGGTTTTTACTCCGCGGGACGACCATCGCTTTTACAATACTATTACCGTTAATTATTTGTATATATTTTTTCTTGGCTATTATTTACGGACGAACCGATATCATGGCAAATCGCGTGAGTGGTAATTTATAGCCGCTCACACGTGTCGTTGTCCTCGCTTGGCTGACGCGTGGCTCGAAAACACGGCTGAAGATTTTTTTTTATTTTCGCGTACGCGTTTTCGCGATAGAACCGCGGCGCGGTACCGACGTCCACTCCCGAAAGACGAATTAAAAATCTGATTCGATTGCATTTCCTGTCGAATTCCGTAATCATCGTAACCACCTGTACTACAACTGAAAACTGCCGTTTGTTTTTAATACGTTTTTAATACGCTCTCGACTCGGAGAAAGGATCCTGGTGACGCACTAGAATATTATACGTACATCGGCGTGTTTCGGTTTTTCAGATTTCAATTAACAGTCAATCAACGCATCTATATATAACGACAAATCGTTGACGATCCCGTTTATTTACTTCACATTTAAAATTGAGTTTTCGATTCGTACAATTGTATGCTATCACCGAGGACGTACGTTTTATAGAACGCTCGGTTGGATGATTCGTCGTCGTTAAAACACTCTGTCTAGATTAACAGCATTAAATATGCGTAAGTATGTTGCTTGTTCTGATTTACAAATAATACGATCCTTTAGGGGTTCTATATCCATACACCCAATACCCGCAGCTGCAACGTAATAAATTATACAGACACGTTAATTCGGCTTGGCGATACGGCTATAATTTACAATTGCATGCCTATAACAAGTGATTATTCCGTATTTTATACGTCCGCCATGGGTTCTTTAATTCCGTACACGCAATAAAAATCCGTAAGGTGACGCGTGTGGATTTAAAAATTTCGTATGCCAATATGATTATTTATTATTGCCGATTGGCAATTAAGAGCACACGATAATATACATTAATGAAAACTATGGATATACGTATATTAAAATAAACATTAGCTGTACTATGTTAATCGCGATAGCAATTAATTTTGTGTACACCGCTGAGCTTACTAATTAATACCAATTAGTTATTATACCACAGATTAATCTGTGATTATACTTACAATTAATGATACCTACTCACGAACCTTGCTATTTATATTTTCAACTAAAGTCATAAAATATTTACCTATACATAGCTCCTTCTAAACAATATTGGAAGTGTACCTATTATAACCACATATTTTGTAGAGCAACATATAATTCAATTAAGAACATGTAATTATTTAATAACTAATAATGGTCGTAGAGTTACACATAACAATATTTAGTTAAAAGCGAGTACATTTATTATTAATTATTCAAAATGATAAATTACCTCTAGACTGTTGTTATAATGGTATGTACCTATTATTTAACTTAATTGATATTATAGGAAAATATAATTATTTATTTATTCTTTAGTATGCAAGCCTTAATATATATATAAAATTATTTTCGATATCAAATAAATTAGCCTGTAAATATTTGTACAATTGGTTATAATATCTATTGAGTAGTCTCGCAAACTCTAAGGGATACATAAGTTATATTATTTATTTTTAGTCTGAGTATAAACACTTCATAGGTTTGGCATTATTTAATTTACTTTTAGGTATTATTAAAATACATTTTCATTTATTTTTATTTTATTTATTATTTCATGTTATATTTTTACCATGTCTTGGTTACACAATAATAACAAATAAAGACAAAACATCTATAAAAAAAATTTGCGAATTGAAATGTTCAATGATTTAACATTGTGCACTTATATCACTTTCCTTACCGATTCGTTAAAGGTACGGTTACCCTTGCGCGATCGCGAACGCGAACCGCGATCTAAGATCGCGTGCCTTGATCGCGCCGCTGCTGATACAATGTAAATTAAATATGGTTGGTTTTCCTTGCGCGATCGCGGTCGGCGATTTAAATTTGTCCGCGGCGCGGACGCGAACTGACTGGTCTTCGAGCAGTCAAATCGCGTTCGCGTCGCGATCAATTTGTTATTTTGAAAGAAAATTATGATATGAGTATATGACATTCATTTATAATATATTTACCTTAATGTAACTGCCAATTTTTCCTCTGGTGTTATTGGTTTCCTTATGAAAAAAGTCGGATTTAAGGCTAGGTCGTCTCTTATTAAATTTAAAATAAAATCGAACTGATTACGATTAATTCTAAAAAATTCTCGACATTTGATTTCATTATTTTTCAAATGACCGTTGATTAGTATTTCATAATAACCTTCCGTACTTCTCTTTGTAAATAATTGATCATGGCCTTTTCTTTTTTCTTCTGACAAATACAAGAGCAAAACATCATCATCATCTTCTTCTTCAAGAAGAATTTTCAATATATTTACGTCGTCAGATGTATCCATTATAATATAAAAATTCACAGTAAGTTCGTTTACACCGTTCGCTAGAGTACTTCACACATCAAAATATTAAGTACGACTGAATGATGAGATATAAATTACTCTCGATCGCGACGTAAAATCGTTCAGAATAAACCAAGACGATGCGAACGCGATCTTAGTTCGTCGATCGTGTTCGCGATCGCGCAAGGGAAACCGTACCTTAAGACTATTTGTACTGTAATACTTTAACATACTTAAAATTTAAAATCATTAAAATTACTACATTCCTCTTGGGATGCTGCATTCGTAACAGACAACTCCATATCTAATTGTCTAAGCGACTGAAAACACTCTCCAGACTAAGTGTCAGACCAACAAAATCTAACATGATTTTATAGGCATGCTTAGACTATATATTAAGTCGTAATAGCCGTATAGGGGCTGTCTGAACGACCCAGTACGTAGTATTTCTTGTGAGACAACGCCTGTTTAATTTTGCATTTTTACCAGACAAGACGTGTCGGCGGTATGTTTGACTTTACGCTGTACCGTATCTGATACGTATCTTGAGTGATACCTACAGTTTAAAACTGTTCAACCAAAATATAGTTTTATTAATCTTTGTATACGTGTTACGTATTTATTATAAAACTGGGATATTTAATTATTTTTTAATGATACACCTAGGTATAATGCATAGCATTTAAATGAATTATTTTAATAAAAATGTTCACTGTGCAAATTAATTACTAAAATAATAATTTTAATTACAGAACTAATTACTAGATGTAAGCTAAAAAAATAACGTACATATTAATATTTAAATAACCTATAACTATTATATGTAAATATCTAAAGTATAATAATTTTTAAACTCCACAATATAAGAAAATGTTCACAATAAACTAAGTACCGACTACCACTTTATGTTTGTCAATTTAAATAACTGTACTGACTGTGATGATTCCTCTTATTTAAATTAAAAAACATATACTATTATACTAGATTAATCGATAAGGCCATTCATTTCTAGAAATTCTATAAATTAACTTTAAAAATAAATTTAATACCAGCGGTATAAAATTAAGGGAATGCGGCTGTATTAGTGCCCTCAATCTAGGAGTCCTTTTGCCTACTTAGAATAATGTTATTTTTGTCAATAGTAAAAATACTAATATATTGAAGACTTAAAAAAAAAATAATAATCAATTAAATAATCTTATTTTATTATTATATAGACACGACTTTCGTATACAACGTTGTTGTAAATTTTACATAGAAACTATACAAACCAACATGATGAACGTCTCGCAACTTATTGAAAATATTGCGATTTAAAAAATCGTTAAGTAAACTTTTAACTGGTATTTGTTAATTGATAATAAATGTATATACACTTGTATTTAATTATTTAAGGAAATAAAAAAAGACGAATAAAATACACTATTATACATACACTTGGTCTTATTATTTTACACTTAAAATCAAAGCTTGGAATCGAAATAATATATTTTGATTTTTATTTCGTTTATTGATATCTGTCTTTTTTATTTTAATTTATTTAATATACTCAGGGACGGATTAAGTGGTTTGGAAGCCTCGGGGCAAAAAATGAGTGGAGGCCCCCTGACCCCAAATTATTTTCCAAATAAAATGAACAATATTTTTTCAAAGTAGATTCTTTTTCTTTTATTAGTATTTAACAAACGTATATAAATATAATCGGAAACAAGAAATTAAATTATGGTGTTAATAAACGGAACATTTCGAGATTTTTTCGCCAAAAAATCGTTGATAAGTTCACTGAAATCCAGTTCCCGAAGTAAATCGCTTTCAATGCTCAGGAGAGAAAGTTTTGATGGATGGTTTTGTCCCATCATGGTTCATAGCCTATTTTTTATAATCTTCATTTTTGAAAATGATCGCTCTCCAGTGCAATTTGATACCATCAAAACCAAATACATTCTCAATACAATTTCAAGGTTTAGGAAATTAGCTCTAAAATTTTGATCTTCTAAAATTTGGTGTAGTGTTAGATTTATTTTTATCCTATTGTCCACTTTCGACGAGACCGCGGGATTACAGTGCATTTGTAATTTGAAAGATTTTTTTCCCAAAGTCTCAATTGTAGAGGCCCCTCTTTTGTGGAGGCCCAAGGGCTACACATTGGGCTCCGTAAATAGTTTTTTATTAATTTTAATTTTAAAAATGAACGTTCCGCTGTAGCAACTGTTACGTGGAGTGTTAAAAATATCATACGCTGTACATATTTTAGAAAATGTTATTGTTAATGTCAGAGACGCCCGAACGGGGGGGCCAGTGGGGGCCATTGCCCCCCCTGAGATTTTCGCGTCACTTACAAAATTGGAAGTTATTTTACATAAAGCTGATCTTGGGTATTCAGTGACTATTCGACAATCCTTGTATCTAACAAGTATCTAACATTTTTTTAATCAACAAATGATGATTCAATTAATTTATTTGCTTCAAACAAAAGGAGATTGTCATTACTTTTTGAATAAAATAATAAAATATGATGCGAATTCAATCAAATAAAATTGTTTTTTGTTTAAACTTTATTATATTTTTTCTTATAAATATTAAAACTAATAACTAATAATGTAATTTTATATAAACTTAAATGAGTTTTGATTTTTAAAAAATTATTAATGATAGTAATACAAAATATGAGTAGATGAAATATGTAGCAGTAAATCTTCCTATAAGTATTTAGGTACTTACAATTTTTTTGCCCCCCCCCCCTAGCTACATTTCTGTGGGCGTCCCTGGTTAATGTGGGGATCTCTATAACCAGTAATTCAGTGATTGCTTTTAACGATGTTCGTTTTGTAATTTCTTAAACAAAATCTGAACGACAACATTTGACCAGCAAAAGCATTAGATAAATCAGAATTAATGTCATTTAAACTAGTATAACGTTTTTTTAATGGTATTATTAGATTATTCTATTTTAAATAAAATATATTGATTTTAAATTGTTCTTCTGCTGAAGTAAAAAAAATCAATCTAGACTGAAGAACTTTTAATACATTACATATATTACATATAATATATATAGGATTATGGAATTACTAACAGTATTAATTTTATTTGACAAAATACCTGGTTCATCAATAGCTCATTCTTTTTTTGTTTATTCATGGTGTTGTCTGAAAAATGTATCAATTTTCGTTATATTTTTAATAGATCCTTCTCTTTGTTTTTTTATTTTGCGTTTCACATCACCACTTGTAAATTGTTAAGTCATTATAATTATAATTTATAAAATAAAATATTTAATTTATTCTGTCTTGTATTATTTTGTATTGACTTTGAACAATGACACACGAGACTACGAGGGTCATAAAATAATACATCTTAATAAGTAAATACGTAGCGATATTATAGTCGTGTAAATTCGTAGAAGTTTATATTATATGTATACTTTATACATAATAATATAGCCATCGGTATGGAGAAAGGCCGATAAGTGATAAAGCTATAACGAAAAAACCACTGAAAATGGATTTTTATAAAAAAATTTTAGTCACTCTAAATTGCTATTTATTTTGTAGAAGTAAAGATAATCAAATTTGATACAATATTTATAACAATTATACATTGATATTAAATTGAGAACCATTTGAACAATCTTGTTACTTTTTCATAATTATATTTATTTAATTTTTTTTTTCTACAATTTTGAGCAATAATGCTCCGACCTAGCCAAGGGCCCGTGGCATTTGCACACATCGCACACATGCATGCCACGCCACTGGTTATATCACTGGGTATGAATCAATGAGAATACAGTATTTGGAAAAAATTGAAAGTAAAGTTGATTGTGCACACATAACTTTTCTCAAACTCAAAAAATTTAAGCAGTTAATAGCTCAAAAGAAAGATCTTGATCCACTGAATGTTCTGAGAGTGAAAAGATTCATTCGTTAGAAGAGGAGCTATGAGAATTCGAATTGCTTGAGTGAATGCGTCCCATAAGAAATGTACAGGGAAGAATCACGTTGACGGGAATTGAGTACATTTCAATGATTGATGACATATCTGTGTCTAAATACCTTTCATTAAAAAAAAAAAATGAAGGAAATCGGCCAAATAGAACGGCCAGACTTTATACAAATTTTTCATACAAATTTTTTATATATAAAATATATTATTATGAGCCATTATTATCATTAGTAAGCTTTATAATGATATTTAAAAATTTAACATTTTTAATATTATCTTTAGGTTTTTCCAATATAGTCGCCTCATAGGGAAAAGTAATCCGTATGTGCGTCTCCAAATTGTGATCAATACTGCCTTAAAGTATTGGTCTGTTACGCCGTTTAACGTTACAAATCGATTGATATTTATTAGTATTTTATTAAAAGAATTGATTTTTTACAGGATTACGCTGATATCAACCCATATTAATTGCTCAAATACTATAAGGAAAAAGGATAGATGCTGTATTTAAAAATATAAAAACACTTAAAACATGGTAAATAACAACAGTCAAAACAGAGAAATACATATGCGATTCGCTTCAACAAAGAGTTGGTATTTTGGTACATTGTATTAATACGTAATTACGCCAGTCGACAAATGACAAGTCGAAGTCACACATTCATAAATATTTTTCCAAGCTAAGATAAGAATAGCTAAGAATGCGGTAGTTCGAATTGTTTTTAAATAACAAACATTTATAATAATGTATGAATATTTATAAATAAAATTAATTGTATGTTTATATTCAATTTTTTATTTTTATATAAATAATACTTATGTTGAAAATAATTTGATTTCAAATGTGGAAAAAATATACAACAGAAGTGTTTGCCGTCTTACTACGTCATTATTTATATTATTGTATAATATACAGTGTATTAATTATATAGAGTATATACTAGGCATATGATTATAACATATGTTTTTTTATTAGCTCTTTTTAGAATTAATTTAATAAATAATATAATATTTTAATAATCAAAATAGTTTTGAAGCTTCTGTGAACTGTGCACCTGACTATGGATAAAGTCTTGTTTTGTTAAAAAGTATTGAGAAACGTTGACATGATTCCTGATCTCATTGGGCGAATCCGGTATTTTCTGTGTTTTTATTCACCTTTTTGTAGTACACCAATGGCTTCGAATACTATACACAATACCTGTACCAATTTAGCGTTATAAAATACTATTTGACGACCGTTCGCGTTTAGGACACTTGTGTTACTGAATGTTGGTGATAGGAACAATCGAGTGAAAATAATTAAGTAACTCGGTTATTAGAAAAAAATAATCGAATGATAAGAGTAACTACTAAATTAGTATTTACTAATTAAGTACGAGTTACTCCGACTTCAATAAGCAATAACATTGATTATACATATTATTAAATACTATCATTGGTAAAAAAATAATAATAAGAATAACTTATAATCGAGTATTATTTAATTTTACTAATTTTAGGATAAATATTTGATTTCACATTTGAATTCAAATAACACAACAATAATTAATTAGTAATTATCTACTTGTCTATCATCACGAATCATATAAATCAATACCTATTCATTATAAACTAGTAATATTTCTATAATTATAATAATTATTTAATAGTATTTTTAATGTATTTATTTAATTTTTTCATTCCATGTACCTATGAACTTATTATTTTTTAATATAATTGTACATCGTAATTTCGTTCATAGGAATAGATACTTTTAGTAGTTAGATACCTACTATATGATGTATTATTATATATATTATTACTACTATGATTATTTGTTGTTTTTTTTATACAGGATTCAGACTGAAGGTATAATTTTAATATAAGAACTATTCGTGTTGTCATTATTCATACTTATTTTATATACAGTAAGTTTTAAATGTATTTATTAAATAAGCATTTAATTTAATTTGGTACTTGTAATTTTATTTATTCACTTAAATGAACTTGAGCTGTAGGTAATGATCAAGGGGTGTACCCAGGAATTTTTTAGACAGCGGAGTTTAACATTTTTATTTTATCTGTTCTTTTATTATAATTATAGTTTAATTCAATACCAAAAAATTATTGTTAATAGTTTTTGTAATAGTTACAATAGTTATACACACACCACACATATTTTTCACAAAGGTTTACTAAATAGGTAGGTACTATAATTTGAAATACATTTTTATTTGGTAGTAAAATATTATAAGAAAATACATTATTTAATTAAAAATAATAATTAATATTAAAAAAGCAGTATAAATTAAACATAGATTATACATTATAGGTATATTATATAATCTATAAGCTTTGTATATTGAAGATAATGGGAAATTAAAATACACTATACTATTTACTAATAAACCATTGAGTATGTAGAAATTTCAATGGGGGGGGGGGTCCGGACCCCATTAATAAAAATGATCAAAAATATTATCTTCCGAGTTCTGGGTACAATTTCTAACTTGATAAGATTTTTGTTTAGGTTAACTGCCACTTTTCAGACAGTATAATCACAAAAAAAACATTGTAAAATCAATACTTTCCTTACGTTGCTTAAAGTTTAAGCAATTATGTATTCATGGAACTTAGAATTTCAATTTACATGATTCACGCAATCGTTTCAATATCACTGACAATTTAATTCAATATTTAATGCTTTTTTTTTTTTGTAATTTGCAAAGAAATGCAATTTAGTTTAGTATTGTGAATACTTTCATATAGAACAAATGTCACTTTATGTAGACCCTAGTATTTAACGAAACTAATACTTATACACTTTAGTATACATTTTCATTACTAACAATTAAAAATTAATCTATTGATATGAATGTTTATAAACTTTTTATATTAATTATATATTTTTTAATTTATAAACAACGAATGAGGGCTTCAGCAAATGTTATTAAATTTAAGTATGTTAAACCTTAAGTATTATTTTTTTTCCGGGTATAGGTACTTATTTTAAATTATATAACTGTTTCAAAGTTCTTACGGTGATATAAAATGGAATTCTGAATTTGAAAATTTAGCTGTTGATATAACAAAGAAATGGAAAGATACAGCTACATGCTTGAATTTGATAGTTGATCATTTTTATGACAGTATATTAGATAAATCGTTTTATAAATCAATAACTGGAATACCATTATTTAAAGTACGTAACAACAGTTTGAATAATAATTAATTTTACTTATTAATTGAATTTATTAATCTAATTAACAATTATTTACAGACATTAGTTAATGATTCAGAAGATTTGATATCTCCCAAATTTCAAACTTTACAAGTATTAAAAATGGTTAGAAAAGAAGGATGTAACATGAATATAATATTTATGCTTAATGCTGATCAAACAATAAGATTGTTAAAATTTAGTGATAAGTATGATGGTTAAAAAATAAATAATTTGTGTAACTTAGTCAATGTAAATTGTTTAATATGAAAATAAATAAACAAATAGTTTATATATAGAAATAAATAAATATATGCTTAAAATGGAGTATTATTTTATGGTAAATACTACCAGTTTTAAATAAAAAAAAATTCAACATCAGGTACATACAAAGTTAATAAAGTAACGATTTTATTTATTTTAGTAATTTTAATATATTTTAATGATTTTAATAAAGCATTTAGGTATTTATTTATTTCTATACATATACTAATTAGCGGAGGGTAGCAGTAACTGCTAGTATTATCTATATCTAATATTAGATGAATTCTTTAAAGGAAATTCCCCAGCCCCTTCTAAAAAAAAAATTTAAATAAAACTCTGCTATCTAATAAGTATCTAGTACAATAAAATCAATGGTATAAATATATGCATATTTAACATAAAACTCATACTTAAAATTATACATAAATATTTAATTTAGAACACTTAGGTATAAAACTAATTATAATTTATGTAACCAATACATGGCAAATTAAACAGGAAGCATTGTTAAATCATGTCATTAATGATCACAATCAGATATTTAAAACTTTATGTAGATGGTTCAGGGCGTTGCTTAGAAATTTTTTTCGGAGAGGGATTTAGTATTTTTACTACCACGTATTTCAAACATAACCGTTCCAAAGGGGGGGGGGGGGAAGAAAGCCCGTAGTATTATAAGTTTAGGGGGCGTCATAAAAATTGAACATAATAAGACAAATTCAGTGTTATATTTTAGATAGCAGTGACGGCTCGTGTGCTTAAAAGTGGGAGGGCGATATAAAATTGCTTATTTGTGTGATGTATCGAACACAAATATTATTAATAATAGTTATTTAATTAAATCCATTTAATACATATAAATTATTATATATTATATTTTAAATTATCAAAACTTTTTTTTTGGAAAAATAAAAATACAAACTGAAAATTACAAAATTAAAAAAAAAACATTTATAAAAGTTTATACTTAAAGTCTAAACGTTTATCTTTTGTTTCACCAAACATATCCTACACTTTTTTATTAAAATAAGCGTCATTTGAAATCATTTAATTTTCAATATTCATCATTGTTAGAGCGTTTAACCTTTCTTCTCCTATTGTGCTTCATAAACATGTTTTATATGTTTCAGCATTGAAAAACATCTTTCTGCTTCGGAAGATGTTATAGGAATTGTAATTAATATTTTAACAGAGTAAGGATTCCTCGAAAAGTTTCATTCATATCATTTGATATTTTTTTTATGTTAGAATTACACCATTCAAAGTTCGGAAGTCATCTCAAAAATACATAACTTCTAGTTCAGTCTTCAAACTTTCGATATAAAAAAACGTGAAGCATTCAATTATGCATTGAAAATATTGTAATGGAAATGTTTTAAAATATTCTAAATATTTTTCAGCTTTAAATAAGTTAGTGGCGGTTAAGTGTTCAGTAAATTCTAAACGATCTTTAGCTTTGACAATTATTGTATCGCAGACCTCAAACACAGCATTTTTCGCGATATATTCATGGTTTCATGTGATTCCAAACGTGATTTTTTTACATTTATATTAGACATATTTGAAGCACTTATATTTGAGTCACTCGCGGTTTCCCGTCCATCTCGGATACAACACGAGTGACTCGTGCTGATAAGATTTTAACCTTGGATTTTCCCCCAAAATAGACTATTATTTATTGTTAATATCACACGAGTTTATAACACGAGTCGTGTAGGAGCAACATAATTACAAACATCGTACATCGTACAAACTTGGCAAGTACACTCGCCGAGTATACGCTCGCAAAGTACACGATTTATGTGGGACCGGCTTAAGATGAGTATAACCTTCTTATCATATTGTATATTATAATTGACAGTAGCGTAACCAGGAATTTTTTATGGGAGGGGGACAACATTTTTATTTTAACTGATAGTGGGAAATTAAAATACACTATAACATATACTATTATTATACTATTTACTATTAAATCGTTGAGTATATAGAAATTTCAATGGGAGGGGGTGGGTCCAGACCCGAAAACCCCCCTTGTATACGCCCTTGATACCTGAACTATTAAATATGAAATCGTGTAAATAATTTGTAACGTGCTCAGGGTCTGCTCCAGAGCCTTGGTTGGGGGAGAGGGAAGTTATAATTTTACAAAATCTTATAGCAAAAAGAAAACAATAATTTAGTCCGTACATAAATGTGTGCTACACAATGCATATTTTGAACATGATAAAATAATAATATCATAGTATCATACCATAGTATATTTTATATTAATATAGTTTATTTATAGTCTTATTGGTTCTTCATAATATAGATCAGCGGTTCCCAAACTTTTATAATCACGGAACCCTTAAAAAATAGTTTGTGTTTCGCGGAATCCTAATGTCTTTAATTCCTATTCAACTCTAATTTTTCAAGAAAAAAAAAGGAAAGTCAATACTTTAAAAAATTTTTTTAATGATACTGTTAATATTGTTAATGATTACTCTTTATTAAAATTAGTTTAAAACACAATTTTTTTTTAAATAATATAAAATAATATTTTTTCCAAATATGATATGAAATAAGTTTCTCAATAATAACATACATCTGGCGGAACCCTTGATATATATATATATATATAGCAGGTACATCTTATACACTGTCATATCTCTATGGCTCTATCTACATACTTGTGCGTGTCGTATATAATATGCATATTATATGTCCATATTATAATATTCATTTTTTGTTAACAATATACATTTTTTTATAAATACGATACGGCCCTAGACTCCCTCCTGGAGTCAACTCAGTACGTGCTTACAAATGTATAAATATTACCAAAGGATAGAATATTATTGATAAATAATTTAACCTAACATATTCAAGGAATGAAGGAAATTATACGCTAAAAATGTGATGTCAATTTTATAAGAAAAACTTGATGTGAAGGGGCCGTCAAATGTTGTCCTAGCGCAGGGGTCGCCAACCTTTTCAAAAAAGTAAGCTACATTTGAAATTTTAGTCCATGATGATCGAAATCTAGGAGAATTTAAGTCTTTAGGAAGAGATTAGTGTAATGAGTAAATAAAAAATAAAATAAAAGGTCTAAGTACAAAGAATAATTATTTATTGTTTTTTCATAATAATAATTATCTAATTTTTCCATTATCCAATTATTTGATTATTTTAATCTTGACTGATAGCGGTAAAATTAATTTTTACAACGATCGACCTATATTCTTAGGAAGATCAAGCAGTCGATCGTGATCGACTGGTTGGCGACCCCTGCTCTAGGATATTTTTGAAGGCACTTATTTCCAATGTATTTCACAAGATAATTAAGATATACGTAAGATTAATTTTATACTACTAGATAAATCGACAATATATAATAAAAATAACTCTTGCAAAATTTTATGTTACTTAAACTGCGTTAATACTTTTTTTATAAATTTGTTAATGATTCAGGGGGTGAACACCTAAACCCCCCTTCTAGGCATATTCCTGGTTCGGTTGGTAGACAATTTATTTATTTATTGCAGGGTTTAATATAATTTCACTGCGTCACTTTGGCAATGTACATAATATATTATGTATTATAGTTTATTGATATCAAAATATGATTACAATTAAATTTGAATAAATGCTTAAAAATAATTTTCAGACATAGATTGTTAGATTCAAGAACTAAATTTATGTTATTACATGATCGTAGACTCTTTACTAAACAATATCATACATTATGGACAAAAATTATAAATGTTGTGTTCATCAGAAAATATCGTTTTAAAGAATTATATGAATTATCAACTGTTCCATACCCAGCACCAATTAAAGGAGTATTGATTACTTTAAGACTAGATTTATGGAATAAAAGAAAATTTCAAAAACAAACAGATTTATACAGAGATAAAGTATCAAATCTACAAGGAAATTCACTTAAAGTAGTCACATTTAATTATATTCCATCAGCAATAAAAAATATGTTAACAAATGAAAATGATGAAAACAGTGGCTATAATAAAGGCTTAGAAATCGAGGTTTTATAACCTTAAAAAATATTTTGAATAATATACTTTACAATTTTATTTAATGATATTTTAGGTTTTGAATTCTCTTAGCAGTGTAATGAATTTTATACCATTTATTTATGAACCAATGAATTGGCGAACTGAAAAATGGGGTAAAAAACAAATTGATGGAACCCTATCTGGATTGTTAGGGGAAGCATCATCTGCTCGAGCGGATTTAGTACTGGGTAATTTACATTATTCACCTTATCACCTAAACATTTTAGATCTATCTATTCCTTACAACACAGAATGTCTAACATTCTTGACATTTGAATCAAAAACAGACAACTCATGGAAAACATTGATCCTTCCTTTCAAGTAAAAATTATAATAAATTACTAGTAAATAATTTACATTGATGTACTAATTATTTTAGGTTAAATATGTGGGTCGGAGTACTTATTACGCTTCTTGTTGGAGGTTTTTTATTTTATGTCTTCGCAACAGCTCATAAACATATTGAAGACAGTCACAATATGAATAAATTAATAAATAATACTAATACAAACAAAGAATTAAACAAACAAGATTCTGTTTTAGCAAAATTAAAGAGTACAATTAAAAATATTTTTAATACTTTAAAAAATAAATTTAAAAATACAAAAATAAATAAACAACAAAAGTTTGAAATAAATTATATGAAAAATACAAATTTGAATAAATATATAAACAAAGATGTGACTGGATTATATTTATTTGAAGACATAGAAAATAGTATTTTATATACTTATGGAATGTTAATTGCTATATCATTACCTAAAGTACCTAGTGGATGGGCCATAAGAATTTTAACAGGTTGGTGGTGGATATATTGTTTATTAGTTGCAGTTGCTTATAAAGCAAGTATGACGGCAATCTTAGCAAATCCAGATACAAGGTTATAAAACAATTTAAATATTTAATAACTATTTATTTAACTCTCCTTATTAATTTTACAGGATAACAATTGATACATTGGAAGATCTTGCTGATAGTAATGTGGACTGTGGAGGATGGGGAGAGCAATCAAAAGAGTTTTTCATGACATCTTTAGACAGAACTGGGCAAAGGGTTGGTCAAAAATTTCAAGAAGTTTATGATGTTGATAAAGCAATTGATAGAGTATCAAAAGGGCAATTTGCATACTATGATAATATACATTTTTTGAGATATGTAAAAGGGTTGCAAAACACTAAAACACAGGAACAAAATTCACAGTTAATTAATGGTATAGACATTTTTAAATAATTTATAATTTATTAATTGTATGTTATAGATGTGTAGAAATTTAAGATTTAAAAAATAAATATTTTCTACAATTTCATTTAAAATATATTATAAGTTTTCCATTAACATTACATTAATAAAATAAGTTTAGTATAGACAAAAGGCAATAGTAAAAATTACATATGAAAAGATATTTGATATATTTAAGTAATAATTATTTTTATTATTACCTATTTATTTACTAATGGTTTTGTTCAATGTATTAAGATTAGAATTTCTATTTCTCTAAACTAGTTATAATTAAAGTCAGTAATTATTATAATATTAAAGTCTTAATTTCACCAATATTAAATTTACTTTATTTCTGTTTTACTATAATAGTATAGTAAACAATTCACAGTACTGAAACTTATTTAATTTATTTATTGAAGGTACATTGAATAGTACAAGTAACGGAGATTTCACATTGCATATCATGTCAAATTGTATAGTTAATGTGCCAATCTCAATAGGGCTACAAAAGAATTCTCCGATTAAGCCAGCAGTCGACCGATTTTTAATAAGAGTCATAGAAGCTGGTTTAGTGAAAAAATGGCTAACCGATGTAATGTTGGATACAATAGCATTAGAGAAACTACAACAAACTGAAGAAGTTAAAGCATTAATGGATCTAAAGAAACTTTATGGAGCATTTGTTGTACTGGTTGCTGGTTATATTTTAAGTATTGTAACTTTATTACTTGAAATAAGTTATTGGTACGGAGTAGTAAAAAAGGATCCTTTATTTGATGAGTATTTTTTAAGCTGTTATTATGCACAACAAAAAAATTAGGTATGATTCACCATTATAATTTTAAATACAAAATGTTGTTGGTAGATAATTATTTATTTAATTGTTGATTCAAACTAAAAGCTTATATATTAATCAGTAATTTAAAATCAATTAATTTGCACTTATTTAAAAACATGTATAAGAATTAAATTTTAATTAGTTTACTAAGAGGACAGTTAATTCAGATTGTGAACAATCATTAGAGCTTAAATAAAAAAACAAACAAACAGAAGGCAATGCTACCGTCTTTTGAAACCATATTTTTTCCTTTCGTAAAATAGATCTGTTTTGGAACTTCCCAAATTCACAATTTTTGGACATCCATCCCTCTGTAATCAAATATACACTATAAACATAAAAAATTTAAAATTTTAAAAGATCACTTACATCTTTTTCTTGAACTGTACACTCTTTACAATAATATGCATCCGATACACCAGGTCCACCACATATAACACAACGCCCCTGATATGAACCATAATTACATTCGTCACATATACGTACTAATGTACATGGTCTAACATAAGAGTCACAGATCACACATTTACCATCACATTTTTCACACAATCTTCCGATAGCTATTTTAAAAATATAGTTTTAATAAGCAAAATAATATATTATTATAATTCAAAAATTGTAATACTTTACAATTTACATGATGATTTACACTTACCGACTCCGGGCTGCTTTCGGCAAAATATCAAGTCCGGATGATGTTTCGCCATTCTGTATGGTTATAGACTACCTTATGACAATAAAAATAAGAGTATAAAATAAAATAACCCGGCTTTCAGTTAACCCACGAGTAATTATGTCTATTTACTTATCAAACCAAACATACAAATAATCATAACAATAATATTACAAATCTCAGTGTAGCCCACATACAAAATTTAAATTACTCACTGTAAAAAATTTGGCCATTTCATGTCAGTGAAAAGAAACAGTGTCGCCAAAATTCAAATTATATTTATTTCAAGTTCGATAAAAACGCACAACAATAATATATGATAAAATTGTATGCATATTCAAAATTTGATGAAGATTACAGCATTACCATCGATTTTATAAAAGACGTACTATTTTGATTGTAGAGATACAGAATCAAATATATCATCTAGTTTGTCAACTTCTGATAGGTAAGTTACCCTACAATGAAAATTAAATAAATAAAATCATCATAAAAGACCGTTCCATAACATATTTCGCCTTGCTTATAAATGTATAGAAAATACCAAGGTCGTATTTAGAAATTTTTTTCGGGAGGGGTCCAAAACATGTATATTGTAATTTTATTGAAGTTAGATTTTAACTTTTGATATTTGGAATATTTGAAAAAGGTTTAATCTTCTTTTATTAAAATTAATATCAAATTGTCATATGATATTATGATATAAAATTAAAAGCAGTCAATGATTAATTGGAGCTTAAATCATTTTTGACTGAAAATATTTATGTTGTTATTGAAAACATTTTTTTTAAATATAAAATATTGAAGAAATTACGAGGGGGGGGGGTTCAGACACCCTGGACCCCACCAGATACGGCCTTGGAAAATACAATTGTCCCCTCTGCAAAAATAATTTAATAACACGATTGAAACGAAAGAAATCAAATTCTTCTCAAAAATAAAAATTACAGATCGTTTGAAAATTATGATATCGGAATTAAGTCACCATCTATTAGTTTCAATAATATAATTAAATGTGTTTTTGATCATTTCTACAGAATTATCTTAAAGCTGTAAAACTTTAAACTTTCGTTAGTTTTTATAAAATATGTGTTTTTGATGCTAAAGATTTGAATTAATTTTACACAAGAACCATACATCGTAAATAATAGAACTGAAACTATTAGATCTAGTAATTAATTTTTAAGAATATTTTAAGAAAGTTTTATGATTGAATATCAGTTTCTGTCATAAAAGTTAATCGAGCGAATAGATATAAAATATTTTTTCAATTTTTCAACTAATTTCTTAAACTTCAAACACTATTTACAAAAATTTTGAATACAAATGTCGGGCCATTTAAAGTGATCCTGGTACCCAGATGATTAATAAAATATACTCGATATAATATTATACAATTAATCTATATTCAGACAGAATAATATGATATCCCACACTGTTTCTATATTAAGTGGGTAATCGATAATACATTAGAGTATGAATTAATAAACAACGATATTTTAAATTATTTTAGTTTAAAAATTTGTTTTTTAAATTCAATGAAAGTTTATTTTTTTGTTTTTTATCTTCCATAGTTAATTATAATTTGTTGTTATACATATAAAGAAGTACATGATAAGTATTTACAAGTAAGTACATACCATGATGTATTTAAGGGTATACGGGGGTATACGGGGGTATACGACGTATACCCAATACGCTATTTTCATCAATGGTATATAGCTTATGAGAAATTTATGATACGTGGATATACTATCCTATCTAGCGTATAGCTTGTAATTTGACAAATATAAACAATCCAACTTGTGGTTATATTTATGACGTGATTCGGTATCGAATATATTGTAAATAAATATTTTTCTTTTTTTATGAAAAATTTAAATTTGTTATCATTCAACAAGTTTTTGTTATCAGTCATATTTAGGGACCAGATTTATATGCACAAAAAATTCTCAAAATATGTTTCTAAAAATGCTGTAATATGCTATAAAATATGTATTGATTTTTAAATATGTACTTAAATATGCACTAAAAATTTTGCTTAAAATTACACACATGTAATATGAACTCATTATCAACTAATTATGACTCATAATTAAGGATGCGTAGTTCATGAATGATTTTGTTTTGTTTCTACCATATGAGAGTTACTACATGAAATAAGACGTATACCAATGATTTATTTTAGCTATACATCACTGCTTACATACTTATAACCTACTGCATACTGAAAATTTCAAATTAAATTTAAGGACGTAATAACATACGACTATTTAATAGTTAAATGTACAATAGAATGTATAAACCGAACACTCATTGAAAATAATTCAATTTAAACAAGTATTAGTATTCATTCGATGTATTGTTTATATAGTATGGTTTTCAATGTTAACTTACATTATAGAAGTAAGTAATTTATTTATTTAAATTCTATGCGCCACGTGTATAATTACAAATACTCAATTTGCATATGATAAACATCAAAATATAATCTTTACGTGGAATAAAATACGAATGCGTATGCAATTGACCGATTGACCAAGATAATCAGCTGCTGTTATTCCGTTGGTGCATTGTACTGTACAGCGCGACGTTACCATATAATACAATGTTCTATTATTATTTCGTGTAGCTACACCATGAGCATAAATAAGGGATGATCGAATCGGTAAGCAATTTGAAGGGTGATTTTTAATAAAGAACCCGCGTTCTTATTTTTTCTTTCATTATAGAGTCGTTATAAATAAAGTTTAAAAAAAAAATTTTAAATAATATCATTCAACCGCATGTAAATAAATATATAGTTTATAATGAAGTGGGACCAAATCACTCATTATATGCATAGTAAAACAGATATGAAACCTTTTAAATTTTTTTTCTTTTTAATTCACTGCACTCGCATTAACTATCATTTTTAGTTTTACATAGTAAATCTCAATTAAATATTCACCGTAAAGGTAAACATGGGTATATACTTCAATGTGCCTACTTACCTATAAGCAATTCTAACGATTCTTTTATTTTTTCACGTTAAATTGTTGTATATGATGTAACAATATGTATTGTATAATGATTATATTGTAAACTGTATTGCGTACCGTTTTTTCTGCACAAAAACAAATATTAATTCCTAGCCTATAAGATGTACGCACCCGTTATCACGACGAGGACGAACGTGTGCTCTTGTGATTTTTAGTTATGTGATTTCGTTCGAACTATAATTCTGCTTCTTCTGACAAAAACTGTTATTCATTGATATCTGAAGTGATTTCGTTCGCGTTTCGAGTGTGTTCCGACATGGGTGCGTACATATTTATTTATCGGGACATGAATTTAGCCGTAAACCGTTACCCAGTGGCATAACTGGGAAAAAATCTAGGAGGGGCAATATAATATATTTATTATTACCAAAACTCTGATACACCCCCCCCCTCACCAATTAAAATATATATTTTTATTGTATGTATTTTTTACAGTTTATCTAATTGTTTAATTTTACATGTCTTTTAACTCATTTTGTGGTTTTGATAAACATAAATTGAAGGTAGTACTAGGTACCAATATCGTTAAATAATAACCATAAGAGTTCATTAATAAAAGGTGCTATTTGTACTGTTGGATTATCGGGGGGGGGGGGATCATACCTTTATCTCTCAAAAAATTATCAGGTGGGCACTTGCCTCCCAAAAATTACGTCACTGCCGTTACCTACACTATATGTGTGTGCACGTCCATTTATGTCAACAGAACTGTGCAACACAACTTCGGGTGGAGGGACGGTGGTGGTGGTTACATTATTTTGACGGCTACCTACCAGCCGGCAGTAATTTTAATAACGTCGCGCGTGCGGCAGTGGCATTATCGGACTGCGTGTTTGGAAAACATCTCGATGCGTTATCGGGTGAACGCGCAGACACACAAATGTAAATTTAAACGTGATGTCGTTATGGCGCGAGTGTTGCCACGCGGTTGAAACAGTACCGCGGTTTGCGATAACGTGGTTTTCCGTCAACCGGGATCGCGGTCGTTTCGCCGGAAAAAAACGAAGTCGATGAACAAAAAAATGTAGGAAACACCGCACCCGAACGACGTCGACCGCTTACGTAACACCGATACGGCCGTACGTCCCGCGGTCGTGTTATAAAAACATGGGGTCGCGGAACGGTTTCGTCTCGCGTTGTTCCTTTTAATTGAAATCAAATTTGTTTTCAAATCTATCCCGTCGCCGCGAACGTCATCGCTTAAGTGTATCAACCGCTTCACGGTAAACACACCGCACCGGCGTAAGCGGCCGCGTATTATAATGATACATAAATGCGCGCGCGACGACGACGACGATGACGACGGCGGCGGCGGCGGCGGCAGTAGCAGCCACGGTTGAGGTCAATGACCGGCGATAACTGTTGGCACATGTTGCCCCGCCGTGCGCGCGCACCCCACCGTCCGACGCCGTAGCCGCCGAAGCCGCCGCAGTTCGTATACATTCGCAGCACACGCTTGGTCCGCCGCCGCCCGGCATCCAAGTTTGCGCCGGCACCAGCTCGCGGTCGCGTCTCTCCGCCGTCGTCGAAAGCCCGCCAACGCCATCGGTTTCTGTACCCGGAGAGTGTATTCCGTGTGCTCCGTCAATTCGCGCGCGTGTTCCGGCCGTTTTTTCCGCGTGTTTTTCTACCGTTACCGTTGACGAACAATCCGCGATTGCGTACGTTTTTTTTTATTTTGAAAATTATTCATTTTTTTTACAATTTAATTTTTTCGTCGGGTAAAATTTCAATAGGTTTTCGTTTTCTCGTCGTAACTCGTTTTACCACGGTTCCGTTTTGGTTACCGCCCGTCCCGTCGGGTTGTTGCGGAAATTCGGTAGCGGTTTTTTTTCTTTCCAAATTTTTGTTCCATGCATTTACTCCGCGAGTTGTGCGCCGTACCGCGGTATCCGCGGTGAACGAAAATATAAAATTTTACAGTTCGTAATCAAGACTTACTTGTACAAATAATAGTTTACGTAGATATGTTGTATATATTTTAAACGCCTGCTATATCGTGGTTTATGTTTTGTCGTTAGTGCGTCACGTGCCGAGAGTGCGGTCTCACAGTTCTAGTGACGCGTCGACCGATCGCGGGTGCGTCTTTTCCAGGACCACAGGTTTATCCGATCTATCCTCAGGGGGATAAAATTGTATTTTCACGCGCGCACATTCATTTACACGTGTCCACCCACCCACACTTGCTTTGCGCTTCGTAACGGCCCGGGATTCATCAGTATTAGACCCCGGTCGTGTTTCGCCCGAAAACCATTTGCCATCCTTTTTCTTGCCCACCGCTTTCGCTTATCACACATCGTCTAGAACGATATGAATCTATTCCGAGCCCCCTCCCCCACTCCCGAATAGAGTAGTCTGATTAACGCGAGCTCGTAAACGCAATACAATTTTCCCGTAACCCATGAGGATAGACCGGATATAAGACGCGTACGAAAGATGGACCGTTGTTTTTTGTTTTAGGTATATATATGTATAGATAATTGTATTGTTATAACTACTGTATGGACATCGTTTGTCACGTACTCGCACATGTCCGCCGTGTGTGAATGCTTTTTCGTGCGCAAAGTTCAATATTCTTTTGTTCCGCAAGGTATCGTTGGCCGCATATTTTCGCTTGCGATCAACACGATGATCGGGCGTGACGGCGCTCGTGAGTGGCGACATTCATCCGGGCGAACCACCGCTGACGGCCGCCGGCTAACGTTAACCGATACGTAAACTTACGGCCGCAGATCCGAACCACCGCGCAACATTATCCGTCACGTTGTCCGCTCACATCACACTCGGCGAAATGCCGGCGTACGTCGTTAAAATGTAAGTTATTATTTTTATTATTTTTTTTTTCACGCCAACTGCATGCACTGCGGGCGCCAGCTATTTATATTTGAACGTTGTTTGTTATTATTACATCGCCGTGTACATCGGATGTGTTATTGCCCGTTACCGTAACACGGTATCGAACACGACCATCGTCTGGATTCGCGATGTCGTCGTTAAATGAGTTCGGATGAACGCGAAACGCGCTGTATGCACGATTTTCGAACCGAAACGTGGTTTCACTGTGGCGTAACAAATGTACAACGTGTGATTATTCGTGTTTGGTACGGACAAGTCGAAGCGCGTGTGTCAAAAGTTGAACGGTTGAAAGTTGTGCGCAGTCTATATTTATACACGGTGAGCTCTCCCGCGAGCGTGTCGAGTTCAACGACCGACTAGAGTATTGGGTGCGCAGGCACATTAATTGGCAACCGGAGTGAGCGAGAGAGAGAAAGAAAGACACGGCTATATGCATGTTTGCACGGAATGCTTTTCACGTATTTATAAAACGTAAACATTTTAATACTATATGTACCTATATTGTATCGCTCAATTTATATACACTTATTTCTGTATTCACTTATGGAGCTGAAAAGATAACGACATGAATCCAACATGAAAATGTAAAAAAAAAAACAATAAACTGAATGTAGAACCGGTTCGACTGGCCTTGGCCTTGTTCGGCGTCACGGCTTTTTTACTTTCTTAAAAAAAAAACCGCACGATTCAAATTTCGTTTGGTCGGCGAAATATTTTATTACTTGTTATTATTGTACTCCGTTGCAAATGGCGGCACAATAGTATTGCTTACTGCGTTTTATTTTTGTTACACGTATATGCTATGCTCATCGTGCCAATATTAATTCGTCCGAAATAATTGCTCTGATTGTGTCCGAATTTGTCCTAGCGATGTATTATTTCCCTGGGGTCATCGCATATGTAAAATTGAAAAAAATAAATTGAAAAAGAAAAACGTAAAAAATATGATGAAACCCACACAAGAAAAACAAGCGAAACGATTTTTCATTTCAATGTTCTGTTAGCGAGGGCGGCGTTACGGGGTCGTCCAGGGTCGTTGCCTCATTACTGACCTACATTCAGATCTGAAAGAGAGCAACGACCGCTCGGGCCGTTTGAGCTGGCTGCCGCGGATAAACCATCGACGGGTGCCCATCGACCGCACGTGTAAACTACATGACGCTTTTTATATTTTTTCTCCTACACCCGTCTTTCCATCGGAGTTTATGTCGTCATTGTCGTCGTTCATTCAGATAGAACATAAAACCCAAAAGTATTTATTGTAATAATTATAACAACTATTAATACATCGGCACGAAATCAGTTTTTCTCTTTCGTATTGTACTCGTATCGGATGTGGTGTTAGTTGTTGTTCAACAATAATCCCAGTAGGTAAACTATAACAAAATATTCTACGTCAAGGGTATATTTTCAGACAGTCGAACGATTGAAGGTTGAGATTTATCAAGTTCACTGTGGCCTATAATATTTTTTTATTTTATTTTTTTATTTTTTTGTATATACTGGCAAATTAAGTTTATCCATTATCAAACATGTGCAGTTTTAACTGATCCGCATTCTTTGATTGTTTCAATATTAAAATGTGTGTGTGTCTATAAATATGCACTTTTATATGCATAATTAAATAATTGTATTATCTATATGTGAAATTGTTTGCATTCGTTATACATTCGATTAACGTTACTTTGTTTTCCTTTTTTTGAAAAAAAATCAGAAGTTTTGCTGTTACCTAATATTTTTTTGTAGATATTTCGGACTTTGCTTTGCGTCCAATTCAAAATTTTGTTTTATTTTATATTCACTATTGTTTACTATTGTTATAAAGTAGCATAATATGCAAATATTTGTTTTTATTATTCTATTTTTAGGTTTATTGTACAAACGTGACACTGATTTATTTTTAATGGATTTTCCTTTTATGCATCATTTTATTATTGGGTAGTTACGTCAACCTAAACGAACATTTTTGACAACTTTATGTAATATTACATATTTTAAATTGAACATTGTAATACAGTATTTTTAGAGTATTTCTATGGTTTGTTATGCGAAAGTTGAAATATTTGTCGTATTTTACGCGTTATATAAATGACGGTCACTGAACAAAAACAATATCATTGCTATCAGAACTGAAACACGTCATTCAATACATAAAATATCATCTGCTGGTGTAACATATGCATCATGTTTTGTTCGAATTCAGTCCGACCAACAGCAAACCGTATTAACGTATAATCTCATAATTGTCATTATCTTTTCGGTGCCAAAGAGGGGGGGGGCGATGAGGGGACCAACATAACGCTCGTATTAGCACTTGAGCAGGTTGATAGGCGATAGCGATAAGACTGGTGAACGATTTATGTATCTGTCTAATTCAACTGTTTAGGACGAATAATTTATGCATTACAGTGTTCTAACGGTAAAACGCTAGCGCTAATCGCCACTCTTCAATGTCAAGTCCATTTCAGTGTAATGGCTTGACGCAGTTTTTTCACATATTATCTTAATTGATACCCACCTAGGTTATAGGTGAATTGTGTCTGAGGGTTCAATAATATTCGTTTCAAGTTCGTGTATACGGGCCGCGATCCACGTCTCGCACAACGCAGTGTAATGATCGACGAAAATATAAGTATGATGTAATTGCCAATATTATTATTATTATTACCGCACCGTCGAGATGAACTATGAACTATCAAAAAAACTTTTTTTTTTTAAAAAAAAGCCGTTATTCATAGATTGTAAGTTTAAAATATTCACTTAGAATTTAAAACGACGCGATAAAACAATGGATGAAATAATACGCAACCAATAGCGGTGGCATGCGTGGTACACTGGCGAAGACGATAGTACAAGGTGATTGACCTTTTCCTCATCTGACAGAGCAGCGGATCGGCCGCAAGAGTGTAGTAATGTTAGTATAGTTCGTACGCACCGTTATAGGAGAATATTACGAGAAAGAAAAAAAATAAACTAGGAATAACAAACAGAAACGTTTATGTATAATATTACGTGGCGAAGTATAAAAATAAAATGCATATTTTTTTATTATTTATACGTGAAACGAAAAAAAAAAGGAACCGCCGCATGTGCGAGAGTGAGGAGAGGGCGCGCGTCACCCATCGCAGGTATATACGTTGGCCGGCGGAAGGTTCATGACCTCATGCTCTTTACTGACGGCCACAGATGATGCAAAGGACGGCCAATGAACCTTCCGCCTCTTCACTAGGCTCTCTCTCTCTCTCTCTCTCTCTCTCTCTCTCTCTCTTTATTGCATGCTCCCTCTCTCGTGCTCTCTCCGCCACGCCGAGTACGACGGCCCCGCTACCGCCGCCCACTAAAATATAATAAGATATAAATATATACACCTTTATGAACGATGGAAATAACAAAACACGTCAAAACCCATTGGGCGGCCGTGATCGATCGCATTGGATAACGGGTCTGCTACCGAGACAATATTGTATATTATTGTTCTCGTTGTTTCTCGAAAACGGACGGGCACTGTACATTTTTATTATTTTTTTTCTTCGTCATTGTTGTTTTATCGTTGCCCGGCGTCCGATGCCGGTCGCGCCGTGCCGCCGATCGGTCGACGACGTCCGTTAACGCCGCTGTCGCCCTCGCACGGAATCCCTTGCGTGCGTGAGTGCCCGAGTGGCCGCCGTGTGTTCGGCGTGCGGTGTGTGCGCGCGTGTTCACTGCCGACGCGGAACGTTTTGCGCGCGCGCTCGCTCGCTCGCTCGCTCTCCAGGCGCACGAAGGCGCGCACTCCCAGTTCAACGAACTCTGTGCACAGGTCCAACGGTCACCCCCGCACACGCGGCCCACCACTTCCGCATCGACTTTATATTATTCACCAACACAACACAACATCAGCAGCCGCACGGCAGCACTTCCCAAAACGCGACGATATCATCGTCTTTTCTCCGCGAGAAACGTCTTCGAAACGTTATTTTTTTTCCACGCATAATTATTGTTGTTGTTGAAATACACGAAGTTTTTTTTCTTTTCGAGTTTTGTTCGTATTTGTCTAGGCAAGGGCCCTTTGGTACACAGAGTTAGTATAGGGGCTCTTTTAGAAGCAAAAAAAAAAAAAATGCTAATGAAAAGATCAAAATGTAATTTTTGATGCATTTATTATTTTGAAATTCAAAATTTAATATACTAAAACAATTTGAATATTAATAAAAAAAAAAAATCAAGTCATGTCTAAATTACAAATTAAAAAATGTATGAATACTTGTCTATTGGATTATTATTAATATTATGTATCATAGAATCACAATAAATTATTGTCTTAATTAACCATTTTTTTTAAAAAAAACTGTATATTATAAGTGATTTGTAAAATTATTTTTTATTATTTTATTTTCAGAAATATTTATGTACAAATGCATACCAAATTTAACTAGCACTAATTTTAAATGTTTCTTTCGAGATTCCTGATTTACAAAAATCTTTGATTATGTCTTTAACGAACAATTTTTGAAAGATATAATTTTTTATGCATGTTATTGACAATTAGTTAGTCTTTCTTTCAACATTGTCGTTCGTAATTTATTTTTATACTTTTTAACTGTGAAAAAGAACGCTTTTTGCTGAAAATGGTGATCACTTGGCAAAGGAATATCCTTGTAGCAATTTCCACATTCGAAAATTTTTTTTTCAATTTCTCTACCCTTATTAGAGTATTTAAGGCCGATATACTCAAGTCCACGGATTGATTTTGAAGATTTTTTAAGTACTGCTTTAAATGAAAAAAATGTAGATTTAAGATCATGATGATTAATATCTTCGTGATAAAATTCTGAAAATTCTTTGCATTTTATTCTCAATTGGTTAGGATTGATTGTTTTTAATTGAGAAAGAAAATTTAAACGTTTGTCAAATTCATTGTATGATTTTCAACGTTGCTTTAAATGATCGTTCAATGTGTCGATCAGAGTCGGCGTTAG